CAAAGATTTTTAAAAGAGAGTTTATCACAAAAATAGAGTATGATCCATACGTGCTGGAAATGTAAGGAGATAAAGATAAAGAAATTGTAAACAACGATTTAAACTGTTGGAGCTCTAACCACTTGAGTCTATAACAAATTCCAAATTTTTTTTGAAATTTTCACCACTATAATCCATATGTTTTAAATTGGGAATTCATGAAAAATTACAATTTCTCATTCTTTTATTAGCACTATTCTCTCAAGAGATACCTTATCCTTGAATATCACTCTAAGGGATACCACACCCTTGGTTCCTAGGAATTTATGAAAGAGTTCAAGTTGTTATAAGTGAGATTATAGCCATTAAGAATGCTAGAGCACGCAACAAACACATTATCTATGAATAGAGTTGATGACTTGACAAGTATATGAAACTTAGTGAGAATAAATTAGCTCTCAAATTTGTTTAATTTTTTTTTTTATCGATCTAGTCTCTTATACTATGTTTTGTTGTTTTCTTTTCTTTTTTTAAATTTCTCAATCTATTTTTTTACTTAAATAATTATATATTTTTCATTAATCTATATAGCTGCTATTAATATGTTTTATCCATGTTAGCATATTTTAATAGTATTACCTCCTCTTTAAATGATAAGAACCAAATTGATAATAGAGGCTAATTAAATGACCAAACTGATGTTTAATTAAAATATTATTTTCATCAACTTATATTTTTAAAATTAAAAATTACTCTATAAATAAGTTTATATAAATAAAAATTTACAATAAGATAAAAAAATTAAAAATATATGCATTATAATTATCTTTTGAAAACTTAAATGACTATTAAACAATATTTATGTTAAAGAGAGGTATTTTAATTCAAAGTATGTGGTTCAAATGTTAATTAACAGTTTATTGGATGCATATGGGATCTCGAAAATAGAGATGACCTTCGTATTATGTAAATTTATTATATTTTTGGTTTTCTATTGACCAAAAATCATTTTGTCAAAAATTCATTTAATTTGGTAAAAATCAATTTAGCCAAAATTAGTTGTAATGAAATTTGTATTTGGATAAATATTTTTAAAAGTTAGTTCAATAAATTAAAAGTTGTTTGGATTATATACAATAAAAAGTGAATTTGAATGTACAATTAAATAAAAAAAACATTGATTTTTATGATTTGCAGCTTTTGTTATATAAATGCTTCATATTAGAAATGTTTGAAAAATATATATAATAAAAATTTAAAATAACATAAAATTTGATATGTTAAAGAATGAGAATGAAAAATTAAAAAGTTTGATACATTAGACAAAAAATTATGTACATAGTCAATATACATTAATACTAAAAATTAATTGAAAAAGAATTAGAGGTAGCATGGCAATACATATTTTTTCAAATTACAACTGGAAAAGCTAAGCAACAACAAACATTAAGAGTTTATGAAAGATAAATTTTTTCTCATCATCCACCACCTTAATAAAATAAGAGGAAAATAGGTACATATTTTTACCCCCTCGTTGATACCCCAGCACCCTATTGTACATCTCAAAAACTCCTCAAGTTATATTGAGTAAATCCACTTTCACCCACATGTACTTTTGAAATATGATTATAAAAAAGAATTTATCCGAACAACTTTTTGCTCTAGAAAGTAGTTGCAAAAGTACTTTCTAAAAACTAAGTTAGTTTACCAAATATACCTTTAGATTTTAAGGGAAGTTTATACATATTTACAAATAAATGATAAGTCTTTGTAGTATATTAAGATAAAAAGAAGGAAAAATCGCATTTAAGTATTTCTCAAGAAATTAATTTACAAACAAGGGGTAATAACAAGTCCTTTTTGAGAAAAAAAAAATCACGTTCTTATTTTTCTAACAATTCATTTCATATTAGTCCTTATTTGTGAATAATTTTTGAGGGATTCTTGAATGTGATTCTCCCTAGAAAGAATGTTATGCTATGTTTGGATACACATGAATTTAGATTCGGGCCAAATCCACTGTGTTTAGGTAATTAAAAATGGATGGATTTGGATTTCAAATTCTACCTTAATCTCTTTATAATTTGAAATCCATTTAAACCCCTATCTTTTTAAATCCTAACTCAATTTTTTTTGTAATTTGACCCAAATCCATGAAGGCTTGATATTGGATCGAACCACCAAAGCTAATGGAACCAAGTCACCACCATTGACTAGGATCAGACCACCATTGCTAACTGAGACTACACCACCGGCACCAACCAAAACTAAATGGCTGACTTTTATTGGGACCAATTGCCCATATTGGTAGGGACTGGAGTGTAGGTGACAATCCAGAGTAGATAGCCTACTTCCATCTAGATTGGATTGTCGGCACCGATTCAAATTGAAAGGTTGACTTCCACGGTACTACTACAAAAAAAAAAGCTTTTCACGTCACTTTTCAGGGCATTTCACGTCCCTATCATAGGGGACATATATTCGGGAGACATAAAAAGTTAACTTATCCACATCATTTTTATGAGAGGCGTGGTTTTTGGAGAAACCATGTCACTTTTTGTAAAAATGGGACATGGATTCTAGAGAAACCACGTTCCTCTTTTACAAAAGCCGATGTGGTTTCTCCTAAAACAAATATCAAAATAATTTAAATTTAAATATATGCCATTCTCGTTTCATCATTCCAACTAGCTATAAATTTCATAGAACTAAAACAAAATAAAAGAAAAATAAAATCATACCAAAATTGATAAAGAAACAAAAGATAATAGAGAAAGCTCAAGCAGAGGTCAGAAATATCTACAAAGAAAAAGAGTTTAGGTGAAAGTGATACTAACCAAATATTGCTCGCTCAGGGGAAATAGGAGGAGAAGCCATGAATCTCAGCCATGGGTCTCAAAGCAGTTCGTCGAATGGGGGAAAGAGGAGGAGACGAGGAGAAGAGAGATTTGTTTATTGAATATTCACCGTTGAATGCTAGCCTTGGGTCTCTATTCAATCTATTGGCCATAGATCTTAATGCTGTGGGTCTCGATACAATAGGAAGAAGAAGAGAGAGTTGTTGAGCAGAGGAGAGGAGAGATCTGCAATGGGGAGGAGAAGAGAGACGTGCTGTCATTGAAGGGAAAGAGGGAAAGGAGTTAGGTTTTAAAATACAAAATGATGAAACGAGGGAGGAGCTCGATCTAATTTAAAAAAACTGACTAAAATTCACATCACCTTTTCAAAAAAGCGATGTGAAAAATGTCTAGAAATTAATAATTTAAAATATTTTATTTTCTACAATCCATGTCATTTTTTTTAAAAAAGCAAAGTGAAAAAAATGTCCACTAATTAATAATTTAAAATATTTTATTTTCTACAATCTACGTCGCTTAAAAAAGTGACGTGAAAAATATTCAAAAAATTAATAATTTAAAATATTTTATTTTCTACAATTCATGTTACTTTTTTTAAAAAAGCAATGTAGGTAACTTACCACATCGCTTTTTTAAAAAAGAGACGTGAAAAATGTCTAGAAATTAATAATTTAAAATGGTTTATTTTCTACAATCCACATCCCTTTTTTTTTAAAAAATGTGGCATGGTAAGTTATTCATATTGCTTTTTTTAAAAAAGTGATGTGAAAAATGTTCAAAAATTAATAATTTAAAATAATTTATTTACCAAGTTTCTTTTTTTAAAAAAGGGGAAGTAGATTGTAAAAAATAAATTATTTTAAATTATTAAATTCTAGACATTTTTCACATTACTTTCTTAAAAAATGATATAGATAACTTATCCACGTCGCTTTTTTAAAAAAGCGACATTGATAGTCTTACATATTCAACATTTATTTACAAAATTACCACTGTCTTTATTTTTTATGTTACTTTTACAAAAAGTGATGTAAATTGAGGGATATAAAATGTATATTTTGTAGCAGTATCAGGACCATCGAAGATGACTTGGATAGGTCCCCAACTTCCAAATGGCTGATTCCAATGGGACTACACCTTGACGATGACCATCCCAGTCACCTCTCGATTGAAGTCGACCATTCGGTTCTAGTCATCGCCATCAGTTTAGTCCCAATCACCTCTTAGTTGAAGTACAATGTCTTGTCCTAGTCGTCGTCATTGATCCAGTCCTAATCACCTCCTGTTGAAGTCAGTTTTTTGATCTTAATCATTACCATCAAGTTTGGTCTTAGTGGAAGTCGACTGTTCGATCTTGATCATCACCATTAATCCGATCTTGGTGGACGTTAGCCTTCTGGTCTCGAACATCATTGTTGGTTTGGTCCTGGTGGAAGTCGGTCGTTCGGTCCCAATAGAAGTTAGCCTTCTGGTCTCGATTGATGTCGTCAATTCGGTCCAGTGGAAGTCGACCGTCTAATCTCGATTGTTGTCGGTGTTGCAGTCCTAGTCAGCATTGACAGTCTAGTCCTGATGGTAGTTAGCCATTTGGATTGTTGACTTTGACTAAGAACGAACTGCCGAAGTCATTCAAGTTTTAAATTTAAATATAGAATTTAAAATTTAAAATTTTACTTTAAATCCAAACAAAAGATTTTAATATTATAATTTAAAATTTTTTATATCATTTAAACAAAGAATTTAGATTAATAAATTTTAAATATGAAATTTTAAATTTAAATTTCTAACTTAAATTTACCCATTCAAACACAATCTCAATATATTTTCCTCTAAAAAAGACATAGAAACATGACAAGATGAAGGGCATAGCTGGAAACACATATACGTACTAAAGTTAAATGAGAAGATTTGGCTTTGAAAAAAAAATTATTATCCCTATTATTTTTTTGAGTGAGAAAAAATATTATTAAAAAAGTAAGAAGATGATGGTGAATAAATGCTGGTAGATTCTTTGATATGGAAAGCAGATTCGGCTTTATCTCGTGTTCGTTTCCCTTTTTATCTCATTGACACTTGCGCAAACAAAATCCAATATATTTATTATATATGTGTGTGGATGTGTGTGTGTCCCCCCACCCTTCCCACTAGCTATTTGTGATATAAATAACACACAAGACTCGATGCACAGCACAAATTATATAGCTATTTGATTAGAGAAGAGAGACATCAAAATGACAAAAGCTCAACCGACTTCGTTTCCTTGCTCATCTTCTTCATTCTCATGTCTGGTTAGTTTCAAGCTCTCTCTATCTATGCATCTCTCCCTCTCCTCTCTTGTCTCTTCTCTCTCTAGTATGTCATATACATATATACAACTTAAATATGGTTGTGATGATTTTTGCATGATTTTTTATTTTTACTGATTTTTTTGGTGCTGAACAAACATAGAGAATGCGAAGAATGACAATAACAGGGATATCAAACTCTTGCTATATAATATTAGTCTTTACATAGAAAAAAGGACGTACAATTCGAAATTTAATTAGTTCTAGCTTTTATTATCATTTGAATCCAAAAATTTTAGAAACCAAACAAATTACTGCAAAAGTTTAATATATAATTAGGTTAACAAATTAAAGCAAAATTTGAATGTGAATGTGGAATGCAACTTTTAGGCTTTGTTAGTGATGCAAAGAAAAAAACCAAATAAGGTAATTGGGTCTAGCAAGCCAAATGTGCTAGTATCTTATAATGAATTAATGTTTGAATTATCGTTAGAATTGTTATCCACATTTAATGATTTACCATATCTCGAATAGTATTATCTCCGTACCTATGAGTAATCAAGAAAAGAGAACAATGAAGAACGAAAGCTATAAATTGAAAAAAAAAACATTTCTTACTATTGTTTTCCCCTAATTTTATCCTAAATAAGAGAAAAAACTAAAGAAAGATCTTATAGAAAGCATATGTTATTTTCTTCTATTTTTCTTATTAGTTTTCTCTTCGTATTTTCCCCACATTTTAAAGAAAGTGTTAGTACATTATCTTTATTTTCTTACAAATATGTCATAATCAGGAGACCCCCTCTATAACTTTTTGTGGTTTTTGATGAAAAAAATGGTATTAATTTAACTTTAACTTTTTGTGTTTTTTTACTGTTGCAAAATGCTGCTTATGGAGAGGATGTAAGGAGGGAGCAAATTTGTGAATAAACAATTGGTATTTTTCAAGTATAGCTAAATGGAAATTTACTATTAAGATTAATCTTAATTAATATTAATAATTTGGATATAGTGCATCAAACATGATTTGGAATATAAAGATCTTATTTGAATAGTTTAAATTTCATTATTTTTTTCATAAATTTTGTTTCCATAAATATAAATTTGGATCCCCTAGCCATTTAATACGAAATATCAAAATTTAATTTGATTAATTTAATATTCCCATTCATCCCATTTTATAAAATATTTTTTGAGGTGATTGGACTATTGGTATCCCAAATGTAATATGCATAATTTCATTAATGATCATTATTCTAATATTACCCTTCATTATTTCACTCTCTAGATAAACTTCTTTCCCTATCTCTCACTAATGAAGAATGATTTTGAAAATTTATAGAAAAATTAAGATTATTCTATTTTTATTCTAAATTACGACATACTTTTGAAATAGATTTAGTGTCTCAAAATATAAAATACTTTGATAAAATTAAGATTTTATTAATGATATTTTTCTATTATTATCCTTTCCATTATATTCTTTTTTTAATATTTTTTCACAAATGGATTATTAAATGAAATGTGTTTTTGGAATTTTATATTTTTGTTGTAAAAAAAAAGGTTATAAAATATAGTTAATAAGATTAATTGGTATGTGTGATTTTATATAAAAATTTCTTATAAATTAAAATTGATAGAATATCATAAACTGTGTTTAATGAATTTTATTAGTAGGTATAATTTTGCCAAAACTCAAAAATACATTATAATTTAGAGCAAAGAAGTGTTATTTTTTATTTCTGATTAAACGATGCCGTTTTAAGGAGGAGGAGAAAGAGTAGAAGGAAGAGGACATGTTGAATGCCCAAGAATGATAGACTGCAATTCGGTGTGTCAAGGATTTCCCAACTGCTGCGTCAACGGTCAATGCATTTGTCAGCCGTGCACTCTTCACTTTGATCCAAACCCTACTAGCAAAACTCATCAGCCTGTAATTTTCAGTTATAATTAATATTATCTTTTCTGTAATTAACGTAAAAACCAATTATAAATGGTGTTAATTAGAGGATGCGAATAAAAAAGCTAGAATTTTTTAAAAAATTGTATTCTTGTTTTTTTTTTTAAAGTGCGTTTGGACATGTGCTGAGGGGGAGGAAAAAAAAAAAAAAGGTTCCGATATGAATATGTATCCCATAATCGAGGAGTTATAATGAGATATTAATACTTTTTACTTATATGGATATATTTACAAATTGAATGAAATAATAAAAATTAAAGAAGTAAGAAAATATCACAAAAATTAATTAATATATTTGCAATATCACTTACATGGTTGTTTAGAATGGATGACATGAGCCACCATGGTAAATAGAATTTTTTTATTCTAAATGGGATCTCAAGTGTTACAACTTAAAACATATAGAATTTAGGTCAAAAATAAATCTAAATCAAAGTTATAAAATGCACGAAAGCATGAGATATCAATTAAACTTAAGAATAATTACATAAAAGGGGGAAAGTGTCAATTTTCAGCAATACAAGCCATTTGTCATAGCATAAAGACTGTGTATTGTGGCCAGATACTCTTTGTGCCATGCACTGCAGCGCATTGTACAAAATTTGATAGCAACATGCTGTCATATGATAGATCTAGGGCCAAACTTCCAACACATCCCAAAAGCTTAAACAACCATTTAGACCAAACTCAACAGATCTAAGACAATCTGTGCAATATACCACAACACACACATATACACAGTTCACAATTTAACTCCTCAACCCCAATATCATCAAAAAGCATAGGGGGAGGTAATCATCATTTACTCTACCAATTAATCATTTACAATCTTAGAATAATTCTAAATATACTTACAATAGCATTTTGGCCTTAGTTAAACATAAATAGCTTATACAACTTGACTTAGGGCATAAAATACTAACAATCAATCATTAATGCATGCAATGGTGCAAGTAATCATCAAATGTTTTTACCTCTAAATAAAAGTACTTCCAAAGCTTTACTTAGCTTGAATAATGTCAGGAATGATTAATCTATAATTTAACTATATCAACAATGATTAATATCCTCATTAAGATAAATCCTAACACTCTAACTCAATACTTCAACTACTAAAAACTCCAATCCCTAGCATTTAAACATACACATTGGGTTCCTTAGCTTCCTTTAGCTCACATTAGTTACAATGAACCCTTAAACTATCATTAATGGCATCCAACCATCTCAAACTACCTCCATTAACAAAATATTTTGGGTATTAATTCCAACTACCAAACACAAAACCATAAATGCTAGGTTTAAAAAACTTAAACAACTTATATTAACCCTATCTAAGTTACTGTGTTTGGACCCATAACCTTTATAGACTAAAAATTACCTCTTTATAGCAAACCTTAACTTGAAAATCTTGTAGAGAGGTAGAGAAGAGATTAGGGAGACTTACTAGAGATGATAGGAAGTTCAAATCCTCCACTAAGTGCCCAAAATGTCATGCCTTAGCAGAGAAAAATGTCTCTCATCACCCTTTCTCTATTTTCTATTTTTTCCTTCTATTTCCCACATCAGAACATGACCTCTTAAATCTAATTTTTGGTCATGTGCTGCGGCACATGTAAGATCTCCCTATATAATCACCATTAACTCCAAAATCAAGATAATCAACAGACAGAACCAAATAAGGATTACCAAGTTTTCATAATTTGTGAATGGAGGAAACAATTTCAAACTATTTACAATGGAATCCCAAGATTTTCAAAATTTAAAATACTTCTATATGTTTTTGATAGTCCCAAATCAAATTTTTAAAATAGCATGAAAACATGAAAAATCAATAAAAACAAGGAATTTGTATAAAACTTCAACACAGTGAAAATAGTGCAAGAAATAGCATATACGCTGTGGCTAAGTGCCATTGCATTGCAGCTCGTTAGCCTTTATGCCATGCATCATAGCGTGATATGCCATGTGTTGTGGTGTTTTACATGATATTTGACAGCAAACTCCTGTTGTCATATGATAGCATTAGGAGCGAGCTTCTAACATGTCCCAAATCTCATTTCGATATCTGATTGAGATGATGTTGGTGTTCACACTAAAATTCATTTTTTACAATGATTTGGACACCTCAAACCATTTTCATACTTTTTCATAAAAACTCACCACAAGAGTGTCTAAACTCATACACAAGTGCCAAAAGCTAACACCGACCATTTGACCACACTCAATGGACCCTATAGGACTCATGCAACACACCATACTCAACCAAATAAACATATAATACAAATTCACCACTCAACCTCAATTTTTATAAAACACAAGGGGGAGGAAATCTTTGCATCAATCATTCATTTTCATTTCAAATCATCTCAAAATACACATAACACTACTTGCACAAGTATTTTGGCCTAATACAAGGTTTACAACCACAACTCACTAACCCAAGATATAAAATACACAAGTTGTACATCATAGTAATGCAAGTAGCTTAAAAATAATCATGTGAATCTTAGTTAGCAAATTAACAACATTAATATGCTTCCGCAGATCAAGATCTAATGAGCTAGGCCTTATAAATATTGAGAATTAAGGGGTGAGTGTAACTATTTAGCAATCAAATTCCACCTAATCTATACAGTTGCTTATCAATTAAAAACAGATGTAAATGGCAATAAGCACAATTATAATGCATAGATGATAAATATAGCCACGGTTATAACAATAACAACCATGTGATTAGACATAAACACATATCACATGTCATATCAATTATGCACAACATAGGGTTATAAAATTAACAACTATGTGCCCCTAACATATGCCAGACCATAATAATGCCAATTATGTGGCTAGATCTAAATTCATGATCAAATGCTAGTCTTATATTCTCTTGTTACCTCTTATATGAAATTGATGGCTATTAAGTGGCTATGTCCATAACACAAACTAACCTAGCCTTTCACTTGTAAGGAGCTACTGAGCCAAGGTTAACTCACTCACTTATATACCATGGTTTCCCTTAATACTAACAACCATGTGGTGTTGTACCCCTAATCTATCCTCCTTATGAACTAATATAGACTAGTTAGGTTTGAGTTCCTTATAGAACAAGTGGGATAGTCCCGTATCAACCATAAGATAAGGGCTTCCTCTTGTAACATCTTGAATTTTAATCCATTGATTAACTAAGCCTAATATGATAATTAAGTAAATTGTAGTAGTGTATGGCTAGGAAGGTCTAATGACTAGTTTCAATTGTATTTTAGCCCTAATTATGGGTCTGGTATGAAGTCGGGCTACCTAGGCATCAAAAAGAGAAGAAAACAAAGATGAAGTATTGTTGTGCCACATGCTGTAGTGTGAATCATGTCCATTGCAGTGCACAAACAAATACTAGAATGAGAGGAGACCTCTCTATGCCATGTGCTACAGCGTATTTCTAATTTTTGTAGAAAAATTAGTTGTGAATTAAGACAGAAATTAGAGAAAAGGAGGTAAAAATTGAGAACCAATGACCTAAGCTCTGGTAGGGTTTAATCTTAGACAACATTGGGAGTATTTTAAAGCTATAAACACTTAAGGTAAGTGCCCTAAACTCCATTCCTTCTAATCTCTTTCACATTTATGAGTTTTTGGTTAGGGTTTGATAGTGGGGGATGATTTTTTAATCCATATAGGTTATGAGTTTGAATCTATTAACTTAAATGGAGTTAATGGAAGTATATTTAAGTATTTAAACCTAGAAATAATGATTTTTAGCATTTTTGGTGGTTAGACCTCATAAATATATGAAATTTATAATTATAAGGGTTGTTGGGAGAGTGTAATGACATTAATGAGAGTTTAATGGCTCGTTAATGTTATTAGGGACTAAAGAGAGTTAATAAACTCAATGGGTAGGCTCAACCTTACACATTTTGGGCATTGGGTACGCTAGTGATGGAAAATGAGAGTTAAGAGATGTGTGATTGAATTATTAATGAAATTTATAACATCCTCAATTTTAAATCTAGATTAATTAAGCTTAAATATATTAGTAAAGTGAATCTTTGAGGTGTGTGGTTAAAGAGGCCTAACGGGCGTGTTTGATCTCGATTTCAATACCAAACGCAGGTTCGAAGGAGAATTGGGTCATTCAGGGATAGAAGAGGAAGAATTTCTAAAGGGAGTGATTTTGTGCCACGCACCGTGGCGTGGGGTTAGTCCACCATGACGCATGCGTGCCAACATGTCTGGGAGAAGCTCTCTGTGCCATGCGCCGCAGCATATTATGTGTCTGCCACAGCGCATGGCTAGAATTTTGTAGTATTAAGTTGGGAATCTGAAGTGAAAATGAAGAGAAAACAAAAGAGAACGAAGGAGTGGTGAAAAAGCTGAGCTAGGGTTTGAAGAAATTGATTGTTGGGAGTAATTTGGAGCTCATAAACACCCAAGGTAAGCTTCCTAGCTTAAATCTTTCTCTCTTCTTCCATTTTCTTGATGGTGGAGGTTAGGGTTTGATTTCTAATGGTAATTTTCAATCCATAAAGGTTATGGTCCAAACCTATTGAATTAAATAGGAGTAGATTGAGATAAGTAAACTTGATATTTATGATTTTATGATGATTGGTGGTTGGAGGACATTAAATGTTTGAAATTCCTATAAATTTGATGGTTGGGAAAAATGTGTCTTCATTAATGCCCATTCAAGAGCTCATTGTTATTCATGAGAGTTAAAGGAAACTAAGAAGCCTTATGGGTACTTCTTCATGAGCCTAGAATAAATCATGAGTATTAGGAAATGATGAAATGTTAGTGGAAAATAGCTCGAATTAGATATTGATGTTTTGCATGGTATATGCTTGTAGTGTAACTACCATTGGCACCATTTAAGCTTCTTGAAAGCTTTGAGAGTGAATAGTTGAGGGGTGAAACCTTTGACCTTTAAAGGTTTGAGGTAACTGGGAAAATTCTATCTTATGCTTGTGTGTGTCTAATGGTTTGTTGATTTATGACTTATTATTGAAATATATAAACTAGAGAAAATGCAAGTGTGGCTTAATTTGTGAAGAATTTCACGAGATCAAATTTATGAGTTTTGTGCCTTATGATGTAAAGTTTTCCTTGAGAACAATACTAGGGGATTTTTGTATTAATGATTTTTAGGAGTGTAATAATTTTTACAAATTGAGAAGCAAAATAAATCTTTGTTTATGATGAAGTTCAATGATTTTAAAAGTG